AAACGTGTTCCGCCATTGACGATGTTTATTATTGCATGAAAATGACGTTAATCTCGGAAGGCTTTCTTCGCGGAGAGGTTTGTCGATTGCTTCCGCTTCCTATACCGTATCTTCAAATTGTCTAAGCAGTTTCTCGCTTCGTCTTCGTAGGCGTCTGGCACACACACGTAGCACTTTTTTCTTCTCACGAACGACAGTTTAAACGGAACAAGGACTTTCCTCATACGCACGATTCTCATAAAATCGACAGTTTTTCCGATAGGCGCACAAGGTTCTCTGTGCCTTGAAGGTCGTTTATTAAAGTTATGCCATCGATCGATATGCAGTTTCGTCCCAACACTAAGCATCCACTTAACCTACACTTCAATTAGGAAAGTTCATCGTTGCAATTATGATGCAGATAATCCAGCCAGCCGTCACGGCTCTATGTACACGCATCGAGTACGTAGCTCTGCAGATGAAAAACTTACCTCTGTTGTACTCTATTAAATCATAGTCTGGGATTTTTCAGAGCGGTTATAATTTTATTCGTAGCCTAAAAACGACTGAAGAAACGATATTTAATTATGATATTTTCAAGGAATATCGTATTAATCGGCATACTAGTCTTAATTCTATCAAGCACAACGAGCTACATGCAGCTCTTATTACTTATCTATCCAGTGTCTAACTTAGCTGGGAAAGTGCAACGATTATCTACCTTTAAAGCTTTGTAAGTAAAGTATGACAAGACAGATGTTTGAAAGGAGACAAGAGGCATTGAATTTCTTCAACAGTTTATAAATACATCATTTCCCCTCGCATTCGCAATATTCAACATATTAATAATAAAGTATTGTTAATGCTAATTGCGAGAATCGACCCAAGATTAAGTGCGACTCAAATATCTGTCTGTTAAGAGACACTTAATCTTATAAATTGTAAGAAAACTGCGTATTACATCGCTTACCTTTGTCTGTATTGCCTATGAGGTTTTTACTTTTAATTACGCTTATGTTTCTTAATTATTTTTATTACAAAATGTTTTATGTAGATAAAAAAAAAACAAGTAATGTCAGAAAATAGAGTAACGTATATTAAAGTTTTGGAGATTTTTTTTTTTAAATCACTGAAACAAATAATAATTATATGATTATGTAAATGAATTTTTAATTTATTAATCAATTTTATTGTCATTCGTATCGAAAGTTTATCCTTAATTTCACCGTCTAAACTACTCTTTCTATGTATTCTTTTATTTGAGTGACTCGTGGAATTATATAATTTTTTAGTTAATATTTTAAGTATCGTGTAGGAATTCATAACGCTGATACACTTTTTAAATCTCTAAATAAAATGCTTTACTCCATCAATTACAAACATACAATACAGTTAAATCGTTCGTTTAGTTTAAAAGCTTATTTTAAAAACCAAAATGTAACGTCTGTCAAAATGATTTATTGCCTTTATACCTGACAAGTTATCGTTCTAATTACAAACAAGGTAAAATACGCTAATTAGATTGAAGAATTTGAAAAAAAAAAAAATTACTTTTACTCGCGTTAATTAAATAATATGCTCACGCTAACATCGTTAGATTATAAATTAATTCATGTCGTTCTTTATCCATTTTAATCTTTTCTTTCTGTTTTTTTTTTTTAGTTTTTGTTATTGATAATTGCACTTATTTATTACAAAATGTAATTATTGCATCTTGAAGTAATCTTATATTATAAGTTTTTAGATTAAGTTTACACGGGGATTTAGTAATTCTTTGTCTGTCATTGACTAATGCATTGCAATTGCACTGCAAATTAAAATTTTAAATTAAATTAAATTGAAAATCATATTATATGTAAGAAATTACAAAATTTTATAAAATAATGAATTATATTGAAAATGTAGTGCATACACGTTTCCTATATTTGTTACATAAGATTCTACGAAATAATTTTCTCAATTTTTCATGGATTTTAAATTACATTTTGAAATTTCAGTCTCATAAATTTAACTTTATTCATCTCATTATAATTTTTGTGTTTGATGTTATTAAACTATAGTGTTTACGGCGAGTAAATTCACTGTAAACTTAAAGAGTTATTATAGTTTACACCTTAACCGCTTTAATTACATTCTTTTAAAATAATCGATCCTGTTTCCGCATACAGTTGTAAAGAAGGATGGCGAATTACGTGGAGCAAAATTGTTAATTGCCTGATTATGTATTAGAGCGTCCATCAATTTTAAACAATACAGAAATAGAGAACTAGCCGTTAAACGATTTATAAAATATTTTTTATTTTCATTTATAACAATCGTTACGAAGAGCCTGCGTCCTCCGCGGGCGAAGGTGATTAAGATAATAAGATCCACAAGCCCATCGTGTATGAGTGTGTAGTAAGTAGCTAAAAGAGTAGTAGGATATCGCGATGGGATTAGATGTACCGGGAAAATGCCGCTTAAGAATCAACGATCAAGATGGTCACTTTCTTTTACGTGGTAGGTATGCGAGCGAGTACCGCGTCTGGCATTTTAATTTTTGCGAGCACCGCAAAAACGTGGCTCGCGGGTTCCGCGATGGCTGCACCTTTTGGCTTTTTCCTCTTCTGAGTAATGAAGAATGCCAGGACAAAGGGTTCGTATCGTCACGGCTATCTAATAAATTACCTGTTTAAATCAGGCAGCCGGAAGCAGAATTGGCGTCGTCGAGCGCCAAACCGGGAAACTCCAGAGTTCGGAATACTGTTAAAATAAATTCTCTTTACATTCTCAACGACGATCATTCAGATTCACTCCGAATACGTGCTAACATTAGAAAGGAAAATTAATCCCGACGATAAAAGACAATATTGACCGCGATGTGGATTATTCCGTGATTTTCAAATTATCGTATGTAAACGGCCGCGATTTTCATTTCAATTTTCATGTAAATGAATAAACGATGTAAAACTAAAAGCGTTGATGAAAATCGGCTCATACTTTTGCATCAATTTAGCGAGTCCCCGAGCGTATCATAACTGTAAGAACTATACGCACGGATAAAATAAAGCAATGAAAAGTGGTAATCTACTTGGCAGCGGTCCATACGATTTTTTTTTGTTTGTTTTTTTTATTTTTGTTTTTGTTTTCTTGTTTTCTTGTTTTTTTTTTTTTTTTTTTTTTTTTTTTTTTTTTTTTTTTTGCCACGGAAGAACATACGAGCATGGAAATTTGAGATGGTAAAAAGAGACGCTACTCGATGGATTTGGTGGCATAATCCAACCTTCCGCAATATCTGCCTTTCACATATAGAACTCTCGAGCTACGGTACATTCACTCATTAATAGCGTATGAATTTTCATTTAATCGCTGATAGAGAATTTGAACGACCGATGAAATAAAAAGTAAAGTATCGATCGTTAATTTTGGAATTGTTTTGGATGTAGCCAGAAATAATTTACTTTACCTACCTACGGCAGCATATAAACAATCTTTTGCGAAAAGACGCATTTGCTTTAAGAAGTGTGCATAGCTGCATTATTTATTAATTTGATAAATTTCAGCCGTGCCGGGCGAACCGATTGACGACACTCCATTCCAAGTAAAATAACCAGAGATCTAAAAAAATTTTTTTTTTTAAGTGCACGCTTCCGAATTGAAAGAAAGAAAAAATAATAATATTAATAATAATAACAATATAAAAAAAAAAATAATAATAATAAGCCTTTAATTAATTATGACGAGTGATTTCGCATGCTGTTATATCCTTTCACTCGAAATATAGGCTTATAAATAAGCCAAGAAAAGATTGACGCCAAAGGAATTAACCGAGAATTAAAGGAAAGTAAGAGGTGCACGCGCTCGTCTCCTGCGCCGTGTCGTAACGATGAAAAACCGGATAAGAAAAGAAAAAAGCGAGAAAAATGCACATCACGAGCTAAGTTAGCGAAACCCACTGATACGCACCTATCGTCTCGAATCCCCAATACTCTTACCATCGATAAATGTATCGGGCATGATCCTCGGTAAAAGTGATGCTCGAAATCTCGACGCACAGCTATTTGCGGTTTTTCGTGTGTGCATTGAGGCTCGAGCGTTAATATGCGACGTCGAGGCGAGAATTTCTCCTCTTCGTTCGCTGCACGACCAACCTCTCGCCATCCTCATCATTTTGCTTCTGCATATTCATAGAATCGAGATAATGTTTTTTCTTTTGCACTCGAGGTAATTTTTGCCTACGAAATTATTCCATGCTCGCTGATGAATTTACTCGCTTGCTTGCCTAACTGCTTGCTCCTATAAAATCGAGCCAAGATTGTTGAAGTGAATTTTCCTCGCTAACACATCGACCATTAATTTTGGTTAAAAGCTGACGTACAATAGGCCGTAGGTGATGAATTTCTATATGCCATTTGAGTAAATCCACAAATGGAATACTTTTCACCGATGGCTTTCTCGGTTATGTTGTAAAAAGAATAAACTCTAAACAAAAATAGAAAACTTTCTAATCCTTTTGAATAATAATTTAACATAAAATATAAAGCACGTATAAAAAAATTAAAGTCAAACGTTGCGTGAAACTTACGATTACACGTGAAAAACAAAGGTGGAAAAATCAGTGAGGCGCTTCTTACGTAATTAGCGTCAATTAGGTCGGGTAACATCGTTCTACATTCTCCCTTCTTCCTCATTGTTTCTTTCATTTATTTCAAATTATACGTAGATGCGTGTGTGCTTATTAAATAGCGATTGCCACGATCGAAAGATAATAATCGACTCGTGAGTTTGCTCGGCCAATATTGTAGATCTCGCGAAGTCCGTTACGTTATGATTTTGGACAATTGTAAACTACACAGATCAGTGGAGGAAATCGATTGAAGATTTTTATGAGGCACGTAATACTCTTAACGGTGATCACTCACAATAAATGAGCGAAAACGAATGTATATATTACGGGCTGCAAAAAGAAGCACTTTGTAAAAATTTCACATAGTCGTTAGGTTTACCGAAGGCAATCGATTGTCTCATTACTTACCACGCAGAGTGTTCCGGTACTGCCCATTCACCAGTGCAATCCATCAAATCTGACCATCTACATGGAAAAAGCAGCTGCTACGTAAAGAGAACCGCTTTGTATATTACAATGACCGTTACTTAAATAAAATACTGTTTAATATTACAGCACAATTATACGCTTGAATATATATATATATGTGTGTGTGTGTGTGTGTGTGTGTGTGTGTGTGTGTGTGTGTGTATATATATATTTATATATATCAATTCAAGTATAAGTTTGAATAGCCTACAGTAATGATAAAAATCTCAATATCAATAAGGTCGTATATTTATGTGAGGTAATTTTTATTCTCTTTATTGTAAATCAGTAAAAAATGATCAGCTTATACATTTAAAAATGTGCATATAATAAATGACATAAAATTAAGATAATGAAGGCGATGTATAAAGTATCTTAGGCGAGAAACCGATCGATATATTTTATACTTTCAGCCATTATCGGCATTAAACTTCAGATTTTATCTCTGGAAAAGTATTGATGAAAATTATTATTACATTATTCTGATTGTACATCACTTGTATCTTCGATAAATATTTGTACTTTGTTGAAAGAATTATTATAACAAAGACGAATTTACATGAAACAATTTTTACAAACAAGGATAACGAATAAACTTCTAACACAATATAAATTAAACATATCTCTTAAGTGAAATAAAAGACTCTCACTGGCATACATAGAAATAACTAAAATAAACACATTTATAAGTGAGCGTGAAAGGAGCTAACATATTGAACGTAGACGCTATACCATACAAAAAGAGTATTTTATCGTTAAATCCATTAGTAATATACGAAGTTAAATATATGCTAAATGCGTACAGCTTACGAATTAGCCTTAACTTTGAGTTTAATTGTTTGCTTTGCTATATATATATATATATATATATATATATATATATATATATATATATATATATATGGTACGCCATGTTGTATAAAATATGAATTCAAAAAGTAGAAATTGCTGTTTTGTCTGTTTATATACGTTTGGCTACAGTCAGTGTGTCTTAAATGATCGGCGTTATTTAATTTTCAGACAAACGTAATACCTTATAGAGCCGACATAACGAACGCATCGAATGAAGCACAGCAAAAATGGAGTCTAGCACAATGTGTAATTTAAGCAGATTGTGCGGTGTTAGATTTTGATATAAAGTAAGAGCACATTAACGTGAGAGCGCGCACACGTTCGCGACACGCGTTGGTCGTAACGGTGAGAATAATGGACGCGCTGTTGAGGCGCGATTTAATTGAATCGACGTCGTTAGACCGGAGTCGGATCCTGCCGTCTCAGGCCTTCCTGGGGGCTCTTTCGACACGCGCCACGGGAGCGCGGATATGCGCTGCGACGCTGCGCTCCTGGGAGTGCGAATCCACGTTGTCTGCTCGCTCGCCGTTGCCATTGTTAGAGGAGCCGACGACGATTCGGCGGGACTTTCTACCGCGCAGATCTCCGACTCGTACTCGCTTCTCGCTTCTCGCTCCTTATCTCTCGAAATATGAAGGAATTATATATATATATTTTTTTTTTTTTTTTTTTTTTACGAGTCGAGTAACCAACCTAGGCGATTCGCTATTTTCAGCGGGTGACTTTTATGGGTAGACTGTCGAAAGGTGAGAAATGCTTGGCTCGCTCTTTAAAGTGCCACCGTTTTGCGCTCACTGATTGTATGCGTAATTTTTTATTATGGCTTTACATGAAGCCATTGTTCCCAGAACACCATTTGCATACAGTAATCGTAATTTAGTTACGACATTTTATCCGACAACTTTGTTTACATTGTATCTCAGATGTTGCGGAGCTTATAACTGAGATTTCATTTGTTCATATTTCTATTACTCAAGCTGTACGTAAGATTTCACCTCACCTCACCTCACCTCACCTCACCTCACCTCACCTATCCCACGACCATTTCATTCGCGCGATAGTCGATATAAAGAAACGACTATATATAATTGGAATGAACAAGTCACAAAACTATCGATCCATCATTTTTATCATTTTTTAAGTTAATAGAGATTATTTTATAATCAAGAAGAAAAAAAAACACATTAGAGAGCAAACATATAATACAATTCTAATAATAAACATCTTCGTTAAACTGTTTTAGAAAGTTAAATAGTTTTATTGCCGAGCTGAGTATCGATATTCTTTGCACTGGACTTTCAAATGCGAGAAAAAAGATTTAGAAATCATTTTGAAAAATAATAAATCAATTCTTTACAACGAAATTTCTATTAATCGAAAGATTAATAAATTACTTTTGATAAGCATCTGCAATTACTCTAACACATGAAGATCACTTATATATGATATTCACCCCGCCAGGGCATTTTATAATATTCTCCGATGTTCACACACACACACACGTACATAACATACCTCGTTCCTACATGTTCCGAGCCGTCCTACATTCACATACGATACAGTTTTTAAAACTTGCTGCCTTGCATGATGCTGCATGATTTTCTGAACTCCAATTTGAAATCCAACAGGCCCCATCATACAGGCCATACGTTTCTCAAAAAACGTGCAGCGGCAATTTCAAAATTAGGAAAGTCGACTCCACATACTCGTGATATGCATCGCGCGGAATATTATACCGAATACGGTTATAATGAGCGTTAGAAGCACGGAGCGTTCGATGCTCGGAACAGGGGGATAAAATCGATTAGCTTTATCTTTGTGCTCCTCGAATGGGGACGACGATGCGAAGTAGTGACGCGAGGAGTGAGAAAAACGGAGAGCGCTGGTAGCGAGCGAAGAGCGATCGCTCGTAACACTTCCTGATTACGCGCGTATCCGAGGCATCCCGGGAGAGCTTAACAACGCGGGCATTTCGCGAGCTGGAAGAGACGGTGTATCGAATTGACGTTATCGCGCCTTTCGACTCGCGAACGCTCGCTTGCCTAACGAGAGCACGGACCCTGGAGGCGCGTTCCCTCGCTTTCTCCCTCCATCGATACTCCGTGGCGAACGCGCGCCTTACGAAATAGCCGTTGAAATTTGACAGCAAATAATTTGTCCACGAAGGCGATTGTTACGCGCGGGCGTGCATTATCCTGCGCGTGAATTGCCAGGATGAGAAGCGCGGTATCTCTGCCCGGGTCATTGAGCCGCTGAGATATTGGATTTCGCCAAGTCGAGGAAAGTAGCGATTGATTATTCCAAGCACGAGCCTTGCAAATGGATTGTCTTCTTCTCGCTGTTTTATAATCAGTGGTAATGCGCGGCGCATGATGCGAGCAATTTGATAAAAATTAGAAAGCTTCGTCGTAAAGTATCGTGAAATTCGATGAGGAGCGGTTGGCTTGTGTGTCGCGTTAAGCGCACGTCAATCTTCTTGTATCGTCGAGATTTTATTTCGAATTTTCCTCGCTCTAGAAAACGTCTTATTGATAAATTGAAAATAAAACTCTGCACGACTGATTATGTTCTTCTTCGATTCGTCATTACGGTAAAATTCGTCATTTTCTGTCAAACAAAAATTTTCTTTTTTTTCTTGTTACAGTTTCAAACTCGTTCGCCGCTCGATTTACGCCCACAGCTTTCCGCTTCTCAGCAAACGCAAATCCTCAGCGACGTACAGCAGCATCAGCAATACAGCTTTCTTCCGAGCGACGATAATCTAGCCACCAAAATACCAAATTTATCTCCTCAACTGTCATACACGGTGGAGAGCAGCACTCCTTTCTCGTCGATAGCTCGCTACAAGGTCGATCGAAAGAAGCAAAATCAACAAATTCAGCAACAGCTTCAAAATCTTCAGCTCAGAATTCAACAGCAGCAGCAGCAAATCAATACACAATTGGGACAGGCTTTCCTTCAAGCTTCGAACCCCTTGTACCACCACCAGCAGCAGCAGCAGCAGCAGCAGCAGCAGCAGCAGCAGCAGCAACAGTCCGATCTGAAAGGCTCGTTTCAATTCAATCATTATCGTCCAATAAATAACAACTATCAAGCGCTCCCGCAAATTCCATTACAAAATATTCAAGGGGATCTCTCTCCGTCGTCGCTTTTCAACGATCAGCAAACTCAGCAGCTTCAGGAATACTACGAGAAGCAACGCCAATTGGAAATTCTTCAGCGTCAGAGAGAACAGCTGCTTTTAGAGCAGCAAGAGTTACGTCGCCAGCAAGAGCTTTTGAGACTTCAACAAGAGCAGCTTAGGACGACGATTTTACCGCTAACAACGCCGACGACGACAACGACGACGACGACTCACGGTCCATCGACTCCAGCTCCTTCGGCCACTTCGACTACCACTCCGGCAACTGCTTTACTTTCATCGCCGACCGCGAGAAGAATCACACAATCGGAAAATGATATTTTTCTACGAGCCATTGCCACTCATCAAAAGAAATATACGACGACGCAAAAACCAATTACCACGGCATCAAAAACGCGCCAAGAAAGAATTTACGATTCACCGAATGAGCAATCGATTCCAAAGGATCTTTTAGCTCTTATCCAAGCCCAGCAAAATCAGGCCGTTCAGTCGGGAAAGCCAAAACCCCAGGTTAAAATAATTTATCAAACTGAAAAGCCAGCGACAAGCAAGAGCAAATCCTCATCCTCGTCAATCTCATCGGACAAAGATTTGCTTTTAAAGCAACTAAAAATCGCACTTTCTCAAACTGGGGTCGATGACAAAGAGAGGAACGTTACGACCCGCGATATTGTTTTACCTAATGGCAAGAAATTACAAGTCATTCATGCGCCAAATGGTTTGCCCGCCAATACCGGCTCAACCACGACAATTAAGCCCCCCAAAGCTATATTTGAAGAGCTGACGAGAGGAGTGGTGCCACCGGGTGCTGATTTTGAAGTTATTCGTCATAACAAAGATGGAAAGCTCGAAGATCTTGGTAAAAATCCACTACAGAATCAACCGGCTAAAAAGGTTACGTTCGTCGTGCTTGAAGAACAACCAGATGGAAGTTACAAGGTTACCTTTATTGAATTTCTAATTAGAAATACTAATTACATCCTAATAAGCGTCACTCGAGAACTAAACTTTTCTCTAAAATCTCATTATTTCGCTTTATTTAATTAAAATCAACAAATAACGATAGTCTCGATTCAATTGAATTTTGAGTGGCAGTAATTAGTAATTCCACATAGAAAACGATTATCATAATAATCGACTAGCCCAAATGAGATTAATAAATGAAATTTCTAAATAAACGTAAAACAGGTGCAAGGTGTGAAGGGAAATGCCGAAAGAGATTCCGGCACGGACGTTGAGTCGATTGTTGAGCGCATCAAGAAAGGGGAACTGAAGCTTCCACCCATCAGTACGAAGTATTCCTCGTCTACTGCGCTGCCAGGTCGAGTCCAATCAGCCGATTCCTCCGATATTACCCTTAACACCTTACCAACGACCTTCCGGCCCACGATCCCAACGACGCGCATCCCCCAAGTCACCGTCTCACCCAATTCCGTAGCCTCAACCGACAAGTACGTGACCTCGGCATCCTCAATCTCCGGTCACGTACTCAATTCCATTAGCACGACCGCTAAACCATCCGCGAGTCACGTAACAGTCAAATACCCCTCATCGCAGTATTCGACGCAGAGCAATTCGGGATACGAGAATGAGATCATCTCCTCGACGACACCCTTGAGCTTCGAGCATCCGAGCACGTACCTCGACTACAGCCCGAAGCCCGTATCCTCGCCTCAACCAACTAGAGTATCCACGTACTCTACACCCACGCAAACTAACGCCGCCGTTAGGGACAGTCTTTCGAGCTTACTAAGGCGCGAGGGACTTTTCGCGATGGCCAAGTATCTTCGACAGTCAGGCTTGGACTCTGTGCTCAATGAAACGGGTAAGCATGCATTATCGGCCGATACGAGCCCTTAATCTTAGTCAGCATCTTCCATAAACGAATATTTAAATTTTTTGACAAATGACAATGCGTGGGTATAGTTTCACTTTCAAGAGATTACTACTTTCACTTTGTAATGTGCATTCGGATTCAGAGCGGCAACCGCTTACTCGCTATATGGACCTTACATTTTTGTTACTTGGAGCATTGATCACATTCAAACGGAACGAGAGCTCGAATCTTTAATTACATAAAAAAAAAAAAAAAAACCAAAAATATGCCACTTGACAACGTAAAATTGTTGATCTCCAAGGCATTGTATGCTTACGTAAGGAGGATTCGCTTGTTAAATACTCGATCATTTATGAAGTGATATTCGGATATATCTAATAAATAATTAATGCTCAATTATCCAAAACCTTATACCCAAATAGAGTGTGCAATAATAATTGAATTGTGCATTATATATATGAAGCACGGTCGTTTATCAGATCGTGAATCGTAGGTTTTCCGCAGCTCGCTCTCTTTCTCGCGGCGCGTTCTCACGCGAGGGAGCGATAGACGCGCGGCAGCTGTGTTTCGTCAGGGCTTTTACTGCCGTCTTGGCGTCGACCCAAGAAAATCGCGTAGGCCCCCGGTGGACTGGAGGGAGTCTTGCATTGCCAAACGACCGATTCGCAATCTAATTACCTATCCGCTAATTATCGCCTGACGAGGCGTTCGTAACCTTTCTCATTGTTAATCGCTTAATAATTAATTAACGCTCGGGTATGATCGTCGCGCGACATTATTTTTCTCGTGAGTAAAAATTCCCGCGACGAGGGTCGAGCTTTCGTAAACCGCGGTACAACGAAGCAAGCCGAGAGCCGATAGTTTTCCTTGACAGTCTATGACTTATGGCTAGCTGTCTTACTGCGCGCGTGCGTTCGGACAGCTTATTCATTAAAAAAAAAAAAAGCATTTATTTTACAAACGACACACTCTGATCATTGCTTTGGCCTTTGTTTTCTCTACAATCATTTCTCAACTCGTGTACGACCTCTTCCCAAGACATTTACGGCTCGTTAAGGAAAACAATATTATACATTGTGAGGTCCTTGTGAGATTGGGAGGTAAGACGTGGCCCTGTACATTCCTGGTTATTCAATATGTGAACGAAAATTTCATGCCATGCGTCATCGCTCTAATATGCTATCATCAGGAGTTCGAATTGTGAAATCGATTAATAGAATCGGTCATTCTCACCTTAAATTGAATTGCATTTTATCGATCGAGGACAACGAAGCAACAAAAAAAAAAAAAAAAAAAAAAGAAAACAACATCATTACAAGTAATTCGATAAGTAAACACTAATATTGTATACAAGAGCACATAATTTACTATTAGCTTTAGCTGTAATCGACGGGAAAATCGGAAGGATTATTGCATTATCTCGCATAAGCGATAACTTTTTCTTCCTATTTAATTGCATTTGCTCTCATGAGCTCCTCGATTCATTACTAAATGATAATGATAATCATTTTATACGAGCATTGTAATTTACAACTGAATCGTTATCCAGTCATTTGAGCAATAATTAAAACAACACTGTTCCGGCAATTAAGAGGGGCAAAAACGCACGTAATAACCAATATTTTTTCCCGCAATGATAATTTTATGCATAGGGCCCTACACATTATTCGTACCGACTGACAAAGCTTTCCGAACCTTGTTGGTGCAACTCGGTGGACCCGAGAAGGCTGAACAGAAATTCCGTGACAATCCACGACTCTTAAGCGGGGTAAATAATTTTTACAATTTTCATAAGTTATCCATATAATATCGAAATAAATCAGAGAATTGGAGATTTAACGTCGCATTATAATTTGAAGCTCCTTCTGCACCACGTCGTCCCGGGAGCTTTCAGGATTGAAAGTTTACAGGATGAAATGACGGGAGTGAGCCTCGCGGGGACTCAGCTACGCGTCAACGTTTATTCGATGCACGACCACGAGTGGAACGATATCAAGGTGAATTAAAAATTATTAAATTAACAGCTCGAAATTATATATTTAGCCATCATGGCAAGTGGAATTGAATAAACTATTGATATATACATATATCAGCGGAGTGCAATTGTCTTCGGGGTTTTATAATTTCGATTAATATTTTTTCAATGGTTTTAAATGTACAGATCTACGTATCTGAATACGACACATTGAAAAAATTATCTTCGATCTTACGAAATATCTTGAATATCAAGAGTAGTTTAAAAAATTTTCATTAGTATTATTAATTTAGGATTAAGTTAAATTTCTTTCTCTACTTATGGTTTTATTAATTTTTACAATACAAAAATCTTTAGTTTCAGTCTTAAGAAATCTATGTAAAAAAAATTTAAGCTTAATCATTACAATGAAAAGTGCAATATTTGCATTTTTACAATGTAAATGAAAATGTCATTAAACGTGAAAATGCTTCGAGCACATAAAAAACAGAAGAGAATACAACAATATTATATAATTCTATTTTTATTTATAACATTAATTTCTGTGTGTGTGTGTGTGTGTGTGTGTGTGTGTGTGTGTGTGTGTGTGTGTGTGTGTGTATGTTTGTGTATAAATTTTTTTACACTTGTTCCTAATTTAACGTATTCGATAAAACATAAATTGAATTTTGATTTATTCGTGTACTTTCAATTCGCAATTGATATGACATTTCTCTTTAAATTATTTAATATATTATAAATAATTGTACATATAATTGGATAAATGAGCATGTACATTTCACAATTTTTTTATCTTATAATTAAAAAATATCTTATATTAGAAAAAGCATATTGCCGAAACTAAATGATTGGCTGTAACTATATCGTCTTTATTATTAATTCATACAGAGCGTGAGAAATATTTCTCCACTACGTTACACGATAGATCACAAAAATCCGATTAATATTTTCATAAGATCGTGAATGTATCTATCTAAACATACGCACACATTTTCACATAGATGTTTGTACGCGAGTGTACAATATAGTGATAAACATACGTTTGCTTTAACACAGACACTCAAAGAATTCACTTGAATTCGTACAAATATTCTTCCGAAATATTACGTTAATAATTTGCAATATTCCGTTGCATGTAAGTATTGCTAATTATGTTACATAAGTAATGCCTTATTATCAAAAATGAAGAATGCTGATAATTTTTTTCAAATGAAAATTTTTCTTCCCTTTCTTTGCACTTATATTACGAATTATATTATTTTCAAATGAAAAAGAAAAAAAAAACAATCATACAAACAGATAATGAATAGGTATTTTAATCTTGGAAGGTAGAAGAAATATTAGAGAAATTTTGTAAGTTCCTATTATCCGACGGCTTTACACGAATTTCACGGTGAAAAAGAGCATTACATATATTGTACAATTTTTCACACAACATAATAAGTTCTCATCGATAAGACGGCCTCTCTTCCTCACATAAATATGAAAAGGTAATTTTTGACAAGGCCTTACATAACACAGCTTTGATAAGTCTTACATAATAATCCTTAGCGTTTTCATTAACAAGACGCGCAGCACTGAGTTGTTGAGGCGTTGATAAAAGATGTTATCCACATGTGTAATTAGGTGACGACGGTTAACGGAGCGCGAGTGGCGCCTAACAAACGCGACGTAGAAATCCCTCAAGGACTGGCACACGCCATTGACCGGGTTATGTTCCCCCTGCCAGTGGGCGACCTGGTGCAAACCCTGCAGGCGGACCGCGAGAGAAGATTTTCCACCTTCCTGAAACTTCTTCGCGTCTCTGGATTCGAGGAAACACTCTCTGGTGAGTTTTTTTTTTTTTTGTTTTGTTGTTTTGTTTTTGTTTTCTTTAATACTCCACTCTAATCGTGTATTTATTATTGTACTGCATGTATTTTTGGAATGGTAATTAGCGAATTGATATTGAAAATCTGCCGCATAACGCAATTCTTACTTTTACGACTTGGCAATTTAATGACTTCTTTTGACGAAGATAAAATCAAGAAATAAAATTGAGAGATATTTTTAATTATTACTTTGGTCAATTATATATCCCTTCTAAATGTGAGTTCAGTATTAAAAAAAAAAAAAAAAAAAAAAAAAAAAAAAAAAAAAAAAAAAAAAGGTACGTGCATATCCAAGGTGCAATTAAATTACAGCAGCTAACTACTAGCATTCCACTTAATTCGTGGCTTGCAAAGTTTAAAAATATTGCAATCTTAGTTCGCACCACTGATTTTTCGATTACTCAACTCGGCACTCTGAACGCTTCAATGGTTTTCTCAGAGCTCGAGATACTCTAATTTTGTCATTTTATTGGTTATTGAACGATGGTGTTTTGAGTGGCGTGACGCTTAACTTATCGCAGCCTCGAGTGATTCCATAATAGCATTATTAGTAATATTAATGAATAGTAGTAATAGCGCCGTTATTAGTAAAGTGGAACAACCGAGTTATTTTCTATGCCTTTTAACAATGTGTATATATTTTTTTTTTTTCAACCTCTCAATATTACCATAATCAATTCGTACTTTGCTATTCTTTGAATTATAAATATGTGGTAGATAATAAAAATACATAAAATTAATATGCTATGCTTCTTTATGAATTTATAAATTCGAATCGTTTAATTGCGATAGCGCTATTGTATTCAAACACGTTAAATATAAATTTTAGTATTGAAATTTTTAGGATCCTCTTTGTAATTTTCGTAAAATTCTGTAAGAGCCAGTGGTTTGCAATGATACCTGGCAATTATATTTCACTTTGAAGGTGCTTTTTTTGGTCTTACATACATTAAACGATATACCGTGAATATTCATTACAACGCATCTTAAATAATCAAACCATTTTCGATAGTCGAGCGAGAAATATAAAATTTCAAATATGTACATTGTTTAGCTAATTCAAGTGAAGAGTCTCTAATTTACCTGTGTTTTTTCTCTTTCCTCTCTCTCTCTCTCTCTCTCTCTCTCTCTCTCTCTCTCACTCACTCACTCACTCACTCACTCACTATCTCTCCTGCGTGATCCTATACACTGTCTGTATGACCATGAACAAAAGTCCGGGACACCGATATTACAGGCACAAAGACGTTCACGGTGTTCGCGCCGACGGATGCAGCGTTCGCCGAGGCCTCTACAAAGCATAACGGTATCCCCGTATGGCAGGAGTCTGACGGCCCAGAGGCCGCTAAGGAGATCGTCCTCAGGCACATCATTCCGACAACTCTCTACACCGCCGGAATGAGGTATTATCACCAAAAGGAGACGCTGAGGCAACAGATACCCATCCAAATACAGAAGACCGGCGGTAAGCGCAAACCCTTCGTAGCCTTTCTCCCCGCGAGCAAAATTCCCTGCTCTTTCTCGCTCTCCTGTAACGCTGGTCACTTTCCTACGTTGGGAAAATGGGTCGGCGAATGTTGAGCACAGAGCGCGTCTGCCACGGCGGAAAATGCGGCGCTTTACCCCAGTCGGTCACTTGGTTCGGGCCCCGTTGCGAAAGAGTACCGAGAAAGTAATCCTCCGAGAGATCCTTATTTTGCAACTCATCCTTTCTCTCTCGAGGTCGTTCGCTTCGCTCGCCGATACCGCCTCGTTCGTCCTTTCGAAACGCGTCGGCCTTCCCCTTACCTTCCCCTACCACACCTCGCCCACGCTGGCTATGCAGCAACGGCTCGGCGTTCAGCAAATTAAGAGCAAAAATCGCAGATAGCAACGTCTTTCGGTACATTATATCTTGTTTAACGTCGCCATGCGATTATTCGCTAATTTTTACAAGAAATTCAATATCCTTAGCCGGAGATTAATTAGTGTGATGCGAAAGATTTTACGATTACTTTATTTTAATTTTTTCGGAGCTAATCGTTCGTATCGGGCCGAGTTTTATATCAATACTAATGTCCCTCGTAAATTAAAATTTATTTGAAATGTATTGAATTACTTGTACATTAAATAATTTAAACTACAATAATAGCTGTAACATTATACTTATAAAGCTTGGCATTGTGTAATATGGGATAACGATATAATAAAATATTTAACTTGATAATAAACTTTAAAATAATAGTTTGAGTAGAGCAGTGTATTTCCAAGTATTAAATTTTACAAGAATACGAGAATTCTCGACGAATATTTGAATAAAATCACATTTACAATTTTGGAAATTGGTAAAATGTTTATAGGTTTAAAAAACTTACTCGTTAAATTTCATATAATTACATCGCAATAGCACGATAATATGCTTCATTAGAATAAAATAAGAGTAAAAAAAATAATTACGCGAAACTGTTGTGACCTTGTATGCATAAAAATAAATTAAATATGTTGCATAGTCACTTATTGCATATTGGTACGTGAAATTGGTAAAATACTAGAATGACTACTAGAATAAGCAGACTAAAAATTGCGTTTATAATTGAATTTTACATGAAGATAAAAGGTTATAATAATACATATATTAATAGAAACAGAAGAGCCAAGATTTCTTTCATGTGCACGATAATCTCTGCATTTATTTAAACAATTTTTCTTTAAGTAGATTAATGTAGTTTGCAATGATAAAATAAAATTAAATATTGCCTTCTGAAAATTCATAAGTGAGGAAAAAGAAATTTTTATTCCAAATATAAAAACTATAAAAACTATATAACTAATTATAACGTATTAAGTAAATTTAATTTAAATTGCTAAATATAATAATTTACTGTAAATTGTCTTTAATGGATTCTCTTAGAAAATTGTAAGCTACATAAAATCAATGAATCTTATTTAAAAGTATCGTAATCAATATAATAATAGCTTAATTCTTGCTCTATTATTAATATTCTATTAGTATAAAACATATAAGCGGAAATTATTTCAAATTGTTTGTTTATATATGTTATATATATATATATATATGTTTGTTTATAATTATAGTTAATTAATAGGCAATTAAGACAATTAAGGCAATTAAGATTTGAAATAAATATATTCGCATTGTGAAATAAAAACTATATTAATAAGCAATGCGATAAAACTATAGCATATCTTTGACAATATTTTGTGAATTGTTAATTATACGATTGATGCCCAACGTCTTTATTTTTTCGATAAATCTTTACTAATTACCAGAAATTTAATGTATCGTTTTCAATCAGATGACGTGGTCGGCTTTATCTCTGAAATCAAGATCGATAAATCTATGATTTTTCATGGAACGTGCAACGAGATAACGGATAATAAGCCGGGCATACGTTATTCTCAACAAGATGACAATTGTAAAAGTGTCCGGCTTCTGATCTTCCCTTACTGTTTGAAATTTATTTCGCTCACTTGAAAAACAACGGGAAGGAAGAAAGGAAAGATTTAGGCATACAAAATGTAGATCCCGCCAGAGTGGAACTAACAATCAACCTACTTGCTCGGTGTGCGTCGTTTAACGCGTGCGTGCGTGCGCGCGCGCGCGCGTCTATGACTCGGCTTCATGAATATTTAATTACGGGTCCGATCTAATCGTAGTCACTTTCCATCCCGGTGATATCACCCTGCGAAATTCCGCAACTCTTTACCACTAATTTTACCCTCGCGTGCTCCCCGCGTCACATCTTTGCCACCAACTCGATATTTTGGCGGAGGCTGCTCCTCTCGGCATCCCAATTTACCTCTGGCTCTATCTCCACTTAGAGGGATATTTGCACTTGAGGGAATGTTATCGTACATTAAGGATAATATTGAATAGAAGCTATGTTATTTGCTTGGCTGGACCCTTGTGAAAAGTTTTCTATCCCTCGGCAGCATACGTTTAACGTGCACTTTCTACTGCATATGCTTGTGGTGTCGTTAACTAAATAATTTTATCGTTACTAAACATCTTTTGAAATCGATCAATTATCCGGTTATTTTACAAAATGATATTAAATTCTATATTTAAAAAAAATTCATTTTATTGCTATTAACCACAAACACACACACACACATATATATATATATATATATATATATATATATATATATATATTGTAAATTCATAATTTGAAAAATTATTAATAAAAGCCAGTATTGCAAGTGGAAAGACTCACTTGTCCTTTCAGAAAACGTATTTTTTTTACGATTCGGTTATATGCATCAAGTATCTGACTAAATATAAATTTACTATGAAAAATATTTTTATTACATTCCTTCGAACAATAATGAGACAATATTTATTTAAGTATTCCACTTGATGAATAACTTATTTTTATTTATCGAGAAATCTGTTATCTTTAAGAATTGTATAATTTGTCTACTCTCTCTCTCTCTCTCTCTCTCTCTCTCTCTCTCTCTCTAAGTCTGGAAATATTTTTTATTATTTTTGTTTTGTACGAGGTAAGAAATAATTTATGACATTTTTGCAAAATTTTAGATCATAATGAAAACGATATTCGCAAATAATATTTCGAATTTTCAATTAAAGTGTTTATTGCACACCATTAATTGTGAAACTATTTTTAAGTAGAACAATCTCATCTTGCTCGATAATTTCTATTCTTAATAGATCATTTATTTTAACATTATCATTATATTCTCTACTTCAAAATACTTTAAATACATACATGCACGATCACGCGAAAACACAAACACGCCGACTCATTAATCCACTCACTTTACCATTATCATAATTAAATTGTAATAATTAAAGTGGACTTTTCGAACTTATGATATATTAAAAAGCTTCAGTTTAATATAAAAGGAAAATATTTTTTTAACATGAGAATAAAGATATTTATACAACGATAAATTTTTAATATAATTAGTGTAAATGTAGTATCAATTGTTTGGAAATCTGTCGTATCACGTAGCTTTCTATCTTAAATAATAATTGGCAAATATATTGCACTGTTCCATTTAGAATATTGAATTGTAAAATATTTTGTAATATATGGAAAAATTAGTACAAAATGTATTATAAAAATCTCAATGGTTCTATTTTCATTCTTGCTTCTTCTCTTTATTACACATATTACCAATTTTTCAAACGATAAAAGAATAATCGTTTGTATATTTGTTACGTATAAACGTTTTACCATATATGTGTACGTATAAGCATTATAATTGTATTTCTAAATTTATACGACTAATTTTAATATATGTTCCAACATATTAATAGAATTATAATTCAATACGACTAATAAGGTATCCATATAACTTTTTTGATGTACCAGCTAGATTGAACATGATGAATGTAGTTTTTCGAACATGCACAACAGCATTCAGTATAATTTAAATGAATTTTAATGAATATTTTATTTTAGGACGCATCCGAGTAAACGAGGGACACATCATCACTTACAATGTGCCAGCGACAAATGGAGTTTTGCACGCCATCGATATTGTAATGTGAGAGGAGCATCGACTGCCTATTGGTTATAGAGCTTTTTACAGAAACATTTTTGTGAAAAAAAAAAAGTGTAAAAAATACAATGAAAAAACCTCTTAATCCCTTGAGAGATTATTTTTTCAACTAAAGCGAATGAAAAAAATTTTAAATTATAAGAGACGAGTATACAAAATATATTATTGGTTATAAATAGTAGAATTAATTGGAAAACATGAAATGCCATAAAAGTTTCAATGTATAGCACGAGAATTTGATTGCTCATTTCTCGATTTAACGTAGGATTAATTTTCATTTCCTTTACTAATTTATATTACACACAAGATCATACACATAAAGAAAGACACACAAGAATTTTTCATACATAAACACAATTTAGTTTTACGAAGAAAATGTATTATTTTATAAATAAATGTACAGAATTTTTTATGAAGATTTCTTACTTTCCATAAATTACACGACACAGGCACGCGCGAGCGCACGCACACATTGTTTATTTTATAGTTTTTAATGTAACATGTAGATTTTTTTTTTTTTTTTTTTTTTATAGAGAAATTAGCAATTATTAAATATTAAACGTATATATTTGTGTGTGTATGATTAATCTCAGTATATCTTAAGATTATAAATTTTAATAATTATCACATGTTCTTTATCAATTTTTATTAAAAACTCTTAAACATAATTAGTTCTTAATTATTATCGGAATAAAATGCGTATTGTTTATAAATAATTCTAAATACACATTTTACTTCATATAATTTGTTCAATAAATTAAATGGACAATTTGTAATAATCATAAATTAATAGTGATATCTTTGAATTAAAAAAATTAATCACACTGGTAAGTTAATATAAACTAATTTATTCTAATTAATGTAACAATAATTTTGAAAATTATTTAAAATTAACCTATGTACAAATTGTAGTTGGAAAGGAATATTTTTATAAAAAATTTAATAATTTGTTTTGTATTTCTTAATCTCGACCATAATATGATGAATATTAGTTAATTGTGGTCGTACATTGGCAGGTAAAATTTTATGAAATCTGTGATAGTATTGAACAAGTTGAGTCATAGCTCTTTGGACTAATGAAGTACCAAGGAGGAGACTCGGAAATGATTTTACAACTTCACGATTAATTTCTTCTAATGCCCGTTTCCAGTTATTTGTAAATGATTGCACTAATCCTAAGGCCTTGCCCTCTTGTCTTTTTAAATCTTCGAGTTGACCCTTTTCTATCAAAACCTCCGATTCCTTTACCAATTGAATGATTCCACCAAAATGTGGACTTAAAATTTCTTCAACATATTCAGCTGATCTTGCATTCAATTGTTCGCGAAAACTTTCTGCTTCTTTCGAATTGTCCCTAGTTCTTTCCTATTATAACAACATCCCAAGTTTCAATCAACAATTCAATATTTCGATTATATTTTTTAAAAATTAAAGTAAAATTTTTTACCATAAGAACTCCAAGGACAAGATCGTAATTATTTATAAGGAATACTAGCTGTTGAGTTCTTTGTGGAAAAACAGCAGCCATTCTGAGAAGAAAACATTGAACAGCTTCTCTTAATTCGGCTAAAAGTTGGGTGGCTCCTTCACAAGGGAAACCTTCTCCAACTCCTATCATAGCAGCACTGAATTCAGCATATCTTCTAGTTATCTATTATCGTAAGAAAGCAAAAGTTATTAGAAAAATGTTTTCCACAAGAAATTAAGACACATTCTAACATTGTTTACGAACATAATGAGGTCCTGTTTCTCTGGTAAATTTCATTGGATCACAGTCCTTAATACTTTGAATATTTAGTCGAAATATATTTTCAAACCTAAACAAGTTTTAAATTGAAAATGATATATGTGTATAAATATTTTCTAATTATTTCAAGGGAAAAGTATAATATAAGAATTATAATGTAATATAATACCGTGGCCAAATTATTGCTGTCATATTATCCCAATACTTATCAAGTGCCGGTACAGCCCTTTTGTGACACATCAATTGATATCTCATTACAAGATGTAAGCATAAAAATAAAGCTATAGCATCGTACGAATCATCGACAAATGATTGTAAACTTTTCAATAGCAAACTCAATGTTTTACCCATAACCTATTAAATAAATTGTATACCATTAAAATACTCATACGTACGTGCTTATGCATATATATATATATATATATATATATATATATATATATATATACATATACTCGCTTGTACCATTATAATTTGTAATTTAATCATAACAAATATGATCTTATTAATACTTGTATAAAACTTACTTGATTAAAAATCTCTAATGCTTGTATTCCTCTTACTTTGAAAAATTCAGATAGGAATAAATATTCGCGACATCCATTATCGATTAAAGCATATTGTTCGCTTCTAAAGAGAGCTTCGTAATGATACTAGAAGAAAATGATGCATCAAATAAAAGTATAAAGAATATTTTTAATAATAATTTTGATATTTAAACAAATCGACAATTTTCAATAAATGGAATAAATTTATCTATTTAACAAATTAACTAACTTTAGTTTTTGAAGCAGTATGAGGTACAATTATGGGAGCTTCGATTTGAGATGACAAAACTTCACCTCTAGCACCAATAGAAAATACAGTTCCTCTATGTTTTAAATGAGATTTGTGAAACAGTCCTCTACTTGCCGTATCTTCTACTCCCATTAAATCATCTTTCGAAGGATTTTCATCAAACTAAATTTAAGTTTTAGTTTTTTTTTTCATTAATATGAAAATTTATATAATAAATAGTAAAATGCAAGATGCAAGATACATGTATATATATATATATAAATATATATATTATTTATATATATATATATATATATATATAAATAATGATAATAATAAAATAAACTTACTTGCAGCTTTTTTAGCCTCGATGAATAAGATTTAAAATAGGAAAAATAAATTTTACTCATCGTATCTATGTACTCTCCACAAATTTCTTCAGCTATGTTTCTTTCGTTATTAAGAATAAATTCAAAGAATAACTTATATTTTAACATATTATTTTGAGGCACTTGAAAATTAGTCATTGGCTTTCTGAATTTATATATTTGCTCTAATAAATAAGATCTGATTTTTGTCATTGCTTTGACTTTTAATTTTTCTAAAATATCCTGCACGTCGTGGCAAGATTTTGCTTTTTTAAAGTTTTGCTCTTTCACAAAATTAATTTTATGATTAAGAGTCTCTAGATTTGCCACAAATTCCTTTTCAGTAACAGGACTATCCATTATTCCCCTAGAATGAGATAAATAAACATCAAATAAATATCGAGTACCTAATATCATTATAGTGCCATTAGAATCAAAAACTGTCTTACACTATGAGAGTCTCAGAGACAGTCATATCCTCGATGAATTGGCTGAGAGGCCCTCGAATAACTTGCCGATTGGTTAATTGTTGACTCATAGTTATGGACTTTCGTTGAAGATAAAGAATTTCTTCGCTTATACTCCCAAGATCGGACTGAAAGCCCAACAACATCGATTCCATTTGCTAATAAACGCATTAAATAAAAACATAAAAAAATGCCTTTTTAAGCAAACAATTGTACAAAGAGGCAAATTGATATATATCTTGATGACTTTATAATGTATATTAACCTCTAAAATATTATCGCATGCTGTGATTTGATTGTGGAGGCTGGCGATATTTTCGCTCTCTTTTATGTAATCTTGTATGGATTTGTTCTCAACGTCAAGAAGCTCCTTTTCAATTTGCGTGGAATACTGTCGTAAATCCGTCCCAGTCTTCAAAACCTCTTGCACCAGATCATCTTCGAGATCTTGAGGCAATTTAGCCTCATCGTCAAGAACGTCGCTTTCCGAAGACATTTTTCAAATTCTCTATTCATAAACGTCGATAGCGTATTAAGCCTAAACTAAAGCTTCCTCATCGATGCGCTTAATTATTAACGGTTGAAAGTCCCGTAACTGCACCTCGGACGAGCTTCCACGTTTCACGACTCAGGCGGACCTCGGCCAGTGTTTACATGCAGCGAGTCGTGTCAGTCTCCGTAGTTCTGTCATATCATCTATACACATTCACATTTACGAACGTGAGAGAGAGAAAAATGGAAAGATAGCCGGCGGATACCGTAGTAGTGCATTGAAAGGTTAGGTTGAAACCACTTGCTACTAGGCTCGGCGGTCCTATGAGGCAAACTAAACTTTCCGAATATTTATTAATATGCGAGACCGCCGTACTCCGAGTCTTGCACTCACAGCCAAATAATAAAAAGTGAAGTTGAGCTCGTCGATAGGAAGCCCGCGAGCGGGAGGTCCACGATTTGGTCGGTAAATAATTTTTCAGTTGTTGCCCGAATGATAATACGTACGTAGAGTAAGTTTAGCAACGTTCGTGCATTAGTACATTTTGTTTGTTGTGTGTGAATATTAATTTGTATGCGCATAATTCGAACGCCACCAAGTGTCTTGTCTTATAACGCAGCAGCTTTACATATTATATATGAAATATAATAATACTAGGGCGTAGAAGGTAAATAGGGCTTTACGCTCGTAGTAAAGATTGATGATAATGGGCATGAAAGTGGAGGGCGAAAACAACGCTGACGATTGCTACGCGCGAGTTTATGTAGTCGTGTCCGTGCCCGTATTCGGGTCTTAAATCCCCTGAAGAAACTCCGCCGATGATCGTCTGGCAACGTTCGAACGATTTGTATGAACGTTACGGGATGGCGGGGGGGGGGGGGGG